GTAATTAAAAGAAATACCTTCTGATACAACATTGACACTTGTATCTAACCTTTCTCTTCTCAAGCGCGTATCGTCGAAGCTTCCAATTGTTTGCGTCAATTATGAAGCGCTCCGAGAACGAGGACAGTAATTCTGATCAAGACCTGGAAGTAATCGGTCTGGCGCGAACAGATGCGCTAGACGTACAGAATAGAGCGGCGCGCGCATATCTTCTTTTTTTTTCATACAGTGTTTGTTCGAAATACGTCGACGAACGGCGCTATTCATTACGAAAAGCACTTCGATTATGAAATGGAAAAATCAACGAAAATGATTTTTCATGCAAGGTACTTGTACTTGTCACGGATTCAAAGTATTTTTAATATACTAATGATCCATTAGGCGAAGGTCGGTGTTTGATTGGTATTCGATAAAGCACGTTGTTTATCGAAGCACGAATGGCCAAGGATGGAGGAATTGATAGCGATCAATTGTAGCCATCGCATAGAAGCACAACACGAACACCATTTGGAGATAGCGAACTCGCGTATTCCACAAACGGGTTGTAATTTCCAAATTAATAAGCGCGCGAGGAGGAGGATGGAGGGGCTCGTAATTCATAGCGAATGAAAGAGCGCCTCGGCATGCCGTTTTAGTTGGAGGCAACAACAGCCACCGCTGCGCCGTCGCGTTACACGGCGCGAGCTCGGTACGGTGCCCACGGTTGTGGAATTTTCAATCGAGCTTGTCTTTCGGTCGCCGGCAAATAATGGGGACGAAGGGCGGGTGATACGAGCTACCGCCTCGTATTAATTGTCCTCTCTGCGTGCGTGCATTCACGCTCGCTCGCGGCGAATTTGCCTCCGTATTTTCCTGGGCGAGCGGCCTGGAGTGTCCGACAGCCGAGTAAAGAGCAATTCTTCGTGCGCCTTTGGCCAGTCCAGCCTGACGCTTTCCCCCCTCCCCCGCGATGCGCCAAATTTAATGGACATTCTTTTGCGGTTATTCTCTTTCGTGTTTCGGGAAAGCCCGCGGCCCGTCAGTTTTAATGGGATTTCGTTGGGGAACTTGAAAAATTGCTGGCAAATCCGACGCTCGTCCGTCCACTCGCGTCCATGTATGTACGCCTAGTTTTAAATTTAGCGTCTGTCTAGAGTGAAAAATAAAGTAAATGACGTTCCAGGGGAATTCTGCCGAAATGCCATTGCCGCTACTTTGAACAGCATTATCACGACTCGTTCGCAAAAACCGCAGAATTAGTTCTTTCCCACTTGCATCGCAAAGTGCGCCCAATGATTACGTCATTCGTCTTGACACTGCAGATAGACGCCTGCACTTGAAGAGTTACCGGAGAACAGAAGTATTAGTGTGGTTTTCTCTCGTAGCGTAGTGACAAGCTTGAGATTTACAAAGGTATTGCGAGACGGAGGAGGGATCGTCTAGGAACTTTGGCGGCAATTGTTTTAGCGTTTTTTCTCGTGTGTGTAGTTCGTGGCTCGGCGAAGCGACCAAGCGACCAAGCGACGCGGGGAAAAACGTATTGCCGGTTCTGGAAGTAACGTTGAGAACAGTATGTCTGGCGCGTGGCCAACCAGCTTCAAAGGCACTCGCTCAAAACAACGTATAAAGTGTTTCAGATGTAATCTACAAGCACCGTTTGAATACTAAGACTCGGATACGACGTCACAGCCGTGAGCGCGACTTATCCATCCTATTTCGCTTGAATGATCTTTCTTGTCGTCGAATCGTTGTGTTTCCATAGCAAGATAGTACATGAACAGTGTTACCGATGTGGATGCAGACAAGCTTAAACATCGACTAATATTCAACTGATTTTGGTATAGAGTACAATTTGAGTAATACACCGAGTGTACACGTGCTTTGATGTGTTATCGGACGTAATGAATTGTTGCAAACTTATGCGAACACACGGGCGCTCGCTTGCTGATCAATAGATGATAATATTAATTGAGAAGCTTTTGGACCAGCCGCGAGAGAATACTGCTGAAATAAATTGTTCGAATATCTATATACTGGTCGCAAAGCGGAAATAAGATATCTAAACGTTGGCTCGCTAATCAAATAAATGTATTGCACTGCGCCGCCGACAGCGCTCACTAGGTGTAATGGTATTTGGCGCTAGGCCTTTAGTTCGATAATGTCACGCGCAAAGTCACCGCATTTGTCCATAGTCCAGTGCGCGCATTCCTTCCTCGCGCGTGCGTGCATGCAGCCGTGCGAGCGACAAAGGGCTGGAGGACGGGTGAGAGAATAGCAAAGCCCCGATGCCGAGATATATGGGGTCGAAATAAAAAGGATGCGCGAGCGAGGCAGAGAGGTACGGGGAGAGCACGCTGCTTCGTCTCCATATCTACTGGCAACAGTCGCCAGCTTGCGACATGGCAGAGCAGTTTCTAGACAGAAAGAGCGAGAGAGAGAGAGTGAGAGAGAGAGCAGGAGGCGAGAGACACAGGACACACGGACCCGACACTAATCTCTTTGGCCACGAGCCCGCGCGCATACACACGCGTGCACACGTACTGCACGTGCCAGAGTAAAAGTTTGAGGCCCCTGCAACACAGATTTATGTCTACGTATAGATGCAATGCGAGCGCGTGTGAATTAGACGTGACGCGAGGTTGTAGCGCGCTCGTATTGCTCTCTCTCTCTCTCTCTCTCTCTCTCTCTCTCTCTCTCTCGCATGGCTATTTCATTACATGCTCGGTTGGAGCTTTCGCGCCCGCGCGAGTCTTCATCATATTCCAACTTCCTTCCAACAAACGGTTTTCTAATTCTCGTGTCTTTACCTTTTTTCATCTTTTGTTTTTATTTTATTGCCACGAATCGCTTGGCATCATGATCGAGTCGTTCTTTTGTTCGACTCCAACGAGATGTATGACGAAAACACTATTTTGCGAAATGACATATTGTTAGGCACATTCTAGTGGACATGTGTTGATTTTCTTTATAGGATTCAAAAAGATTTGAAAAATCTATTTTTGTCCAATTGCACTACTTTAAAATTTTGCAGCAAAATTTAATTTGTTTTAAATACATGATCTATCATTGTAGCTAGGTTTTACATGGATTGCTTTCTATAAAGAGTCAGCGTCGGAAAATCAATTACGGCTGGTTAAAGGGAGGAAGGTTGTGTCGCTAAGGGAAAAGCGTAAGCGCTTTGTATGAAATTGTCGACTGGACTCATCAGTTACACTTTTGTCGACAATTCGCATGCAAAACTCTAGGGATAGAACGGTAACAGAGCGAGTTGTATGCACCGAGGGCGCAGGTACCGTTAACGGGTAACCATCGAGGGGCAGACGATGCACGAACCCGCATATTTCACGATATGCCGTCCCACAATCAATTTATACCTACCTCGTCGATACAAGTCGAATTGCCAATTACATTCAACTTTTTACATCGTACAATATTTATCAAATAAATTGAAGAATCAAGCCATATTTGATTCTTTGTATGATCCAATAACTAAATTACTTTTAATTCGATAAATTTCATGTAATTTGAAGCAGAATCGACGATTTATGTTTGGCATGAGAGTGCATAATTTGAAGGTGAAAGGATTTTTCTCGGATTTTACACTTATGGCGCGCGTCGGATGCGGAGTACTTGATTCGCAAATTAATTTTGCCTCGTGGAGCGCGCGCACTTCTTTCTAAACCCGTTTTCCTCCATTTCGTCCTCTTTCTTGTTCGCCAATCGTGAAAGAGAATCAGGAAATGGAAATGAGAAATGCGGCTGACTGCCAAGAATCTCGTTGGTAATGGCGTTTTTGCGCGTTTAATGCATTGCAATGGCAACCTGCCACGAACTAACTACTAGCATTAACACATTCTGCTTTGAAATTTCTACTTTACGGTCCTTAGGGATTATTGCAAGTACGATTATCTATTACTCAGATCGTTATTTTATTATACACTTTATCCCGGTTTTACTCGATTCAACCTCTTTCAAACTTAATTATAAATTGAGCCGAAAAATATTTATCAAAAAAGCTTTGTTGTTTGTTACTTATACTTGAATAACATTTATAATTCAAAATTTTTTATTTGTTTGTTTATTATACCAGTATGCGCATTTCTATTTAAAAATGTACAAATGTTCTAGTTTCTTTTTTTAAAACAATCAAAATAAATACAGACTTTCAATATTTTCAAAGTGTCAAGTTGCGAAAACAAAATTAGTTGGGAAGTTCCAATACTCAATCTACAGATAATCATTAAAAAAAATAATTTTAATTTTCATGAAAAACAAAACAGTTGTTTTCTTTGTTAATAAAAAGTAGTGAAATTATAGTAAATCTCAGTAAATGAAAAATAGTGAAATCTGTTCCCATTGGTTATATGCATGATTGCATAACGCAGTAGTTGTAAATGGCAAGAGGAAAACAATAATTTTGAAGCTGACTATGGAGAGCAGGTCAAGTATATTTAAATTCTACTCGTGAGAGGCGATAAGTGGGCAAGCATTATCATAGACCATTTGCGCGCCCTTGAAAAGTTTCTTTTCGCTGGCGTCGAAGGAAACCGCTGAACGTTTAATATTTCGAAGCGCGGCAACGTAAGAACTGCCGAACGAACTTTTGAGTTTTCGACGATATCGGTAAAAGTAAGTTGTTGCATTAGCAAAAGTGTCGAGTACGCGCGTCACCCGATAGAGCTGTGAAAGCTTAGTTGCGCGGCGGTGGCGGCGCATGTGTGTGAGTGAAAGAAAGAGAGAGAGAGAGAAAGAGAAGAGAGCTTTTATATAGCTCGCATCGGTATAGTGTCTATTTTTGCGAAAGCGGATCTCGCGCAGCGCGAGCGTCTCGGCTGTTTATCGTTGTAAACACAAGTACGAATCCCGGAGAGCGAACAGTTATTTGGAAGGCGATGTAATTTTAGTCCACATGACCAATACTTCGAGAATCTTTCTGCAGGCTATTTCTTTTTTTAAGCTTATTGTTTTCTCGGGCAATATTTTCAAGTAACCAACAAGTTGAAAAAAAATCATGCAATTACCTTCGACGTATTTATCATTCTTTCGACGACGTCTTTTCGGATGCATCCCATCCTGCTGACAAGTCGAGGAGGACGTGTCGTTGCATTGATTTTCACGTTGGATTTCAGCAAGTCTCCTGCTCTCCTGCTGTCGTCTACGCAAGAGCTCGTAAACCCGAACAAAATAATCTTTTGCAATGTCTTCGTTTGACTTGTTCTTGTAGTCATAACACACCTCGTCGATATTGTTGTCGTCAGCGTCCACGTCATCGGCGCCGTCGACGATCTTGAACGTGTCGCTTTTCTTGACGTTCGAGTTAACGCAGGCGACGTCACCGGGCTTCTTCACCGGACCATTGCTCCGTTTGGAGATGGAGTCGTAGCCGAAATCCGGCGAGCTTTTTCCATTTTGATTGCAAGATTCTTCGACTGACGCGCACTCGGTCGACTTGGCCAGATCAATTACCAAGTAATTTTCCTGCAAGCTCGTGCCAGGTCTCTGAACGTCCTTAGAGGATGTGCTGGCGACGGATGCCGTTTTGAAATTCGTCGTTGTCTGGTCGACGCAATTATTTCTATTCTCGCAAACTTGACAATGTCCCATGTAGCACGAAGATTTGTGCAAATCCTTCCATCTTGGCTTCTGCATCAAATCTTCTTCTATTAAATCGTAATTGTTAAGCTTTTCCTTTTGTAAGCGCTCTTGCTTCTTGCGCTCCTTGAACTCGCGCCACGATCGCTCGATATTGTCGTGGCTTTTAATCCGTCGCGTAGGATAATTCGCGTTCACCGGATCATCTCTGTCGGAATCTACGCTGCTAGCTGCCGTATGATGATTCAATAACACGTCGCTCTTGGTTTTTCTGTACAACTTTTTCTTATCCGAACAGCCGGAAGAGTTCTTCTTGCCAACTCTCTGTTGCCTACTTTCCAATTTGTTTCTCGAGATTCTCGAGGTTTCGAGTACCTCAGGATCGAATCTTATATTAGCGTCGCTCCTTATTTTTCTGGTGCTGTAGTTGCGCGCGTTTACCGCGCCCCCGTCGTTCTCTCGATAACAACTGGAATTCCTCTTGGAGAAATCCTTGAAAGCGATAGATGCAATACCATCTAGGGTTTCGTGTAACCGATCGGCGGCACAGTGCTGGGGAAACGAGGAGGTTCTCTGCAGTAGCTTTTCCTCTTGCATTTTCGCTCGAATTTTCTGCCGCAGAAAGCTCCTAATCTTTTCTACTTCCTCGGTCTGCAGTCTCTCAGTTGCGCTCTTTAGCTCCCCTTCGACAGGCGCCGCCGTCGTGGGAGTATCGCTTCGGCTGCGCAAGTACGCTTTCATCTTCTTGTACCTGCTCATCGCCACTTGGCTCGGCGAGTCGACGCAGTCGACGCTGGCCTCGTCGGGCCGCTTAGCTAGGTCCTTGAGAATCTGCTGGCGCAAGTAATCGCCGGCTGAGTACCTTTTCGCTACCATTGCCTCCCTCTTACACTGCACGAGCTCCGAGGCGTTTGACGAATGCCGCTTGCGTACTTTTCGCGTCGACGACGACAAAGATGGCGACGGCGACAAGGTCGGCGACGCTGCCGACGAGAGCAATGCGGGTACGGCTGCCTCGCTGCGTGACTTGCGCGGCTGGAAGTTAAACTTGGGGCTGAACTTGGTACTGAAGCCCTCGTAATTGCGATTTCCTAGGATTGTCTTGGCTGAGTTGAGTTGAGCGACGGGCGGGGGCGTCCGCTCCTCGAGGGGCTTGGGAAATGACTCGTGGGATTGGAGACCGTCGCGAAAGGAGCCACGTGCCCTCTGGGCCGTTCGGGCGCTGGTCTCGACGAGAAGGCGGCCATCCCTGTCGAGAAGCTGGATGATCGGCACGGTGTCGGCCGAAGTGGTCAGCTGCCAGTCCCAGTAGGATGGCTTGTCGAGCTTCAGCCGGATGACCGGCTCTTTGAGCTGCTGCCTGCCGTCGGCGTCGTCCTCGTCGTCGCCGTCGACGTGAACGTGGCGCGCCATCGCCGAGATCAAAGGCCTCTGCATAGTTTTCATGATGGCTTTAACGCTCTCCCCATCCACTCAGCCTCCTCCCCGTCGTAGCTCTTTAATCTTCCCCGAGGGCTTTACGCGTCGTTGACATTCAAAAAGCCTTGCAATTAAAACTTTTTTCCTGCCAGACTTCCAGCCAGAAAAGTCGTGCGGTCGAGCGGTTCGCCCGATGGCCCACTCGAGCTGCCTTTTGCAGCCTGACGTGCATTAAACAAATTCGCCACGGCTAGCTTGTAGGTCGTTGCGTTGTTGCTAGCTGGTTGTCGTGCCAGCGACTGCGAGCGCGTCGGCGGTCGAATGAAAATTATTGATTTGATCAAACATTTCCCGGCGACGCTTTCTTGGCACCGATAATTTTGCCGCCAAGTTCAGCTCGGTTGGATGAAAGCTGTTGCGTGACTTAGGTAAACTTAGCATTGCAACGTTGGACTTGGCAGTTTATCAACGAAACCTGTCCAACTAACATTTCGGCAACATTTCCACCAATGTCACTGGGTTTCGGCTTTCCTAAATTTAATCGCTCCTATTCCCCTAATAATATTTTTTTCCGTGTTTATTCGCTATTTCTGGCTATTTAGACGAGCCCAAAGAAGCAAATGTATCCCTTCGACAGCTAATGATCAAGCTTGAAACTTGCACATCACACTTGTTGAGCTTGTCACCAATAATCGAGATGCAGTTGACTGTGACGTTACACGTTCGCACACACGCACTGCACGCAACTATTAATCATCAAATGGTCGATCAATCGTAGAATATAACGCCTCAAGTGGCAGCTCAGCACGCGCGCTCGCGCGCGCGCGAGACACTTAACGGCTATAGGGAACGCTCTCGTCCCGCGCGATCAATCGTGACACTTGACATGTGACTGAACGCGGCTATGCTCTCGAGATTCGCGTGAAACGCGGCGCTGGCCACTGCGACTGGCTTATAGTGATCGAAGACGAGCCGTGGCTGATGCTGCTACTGCTGCTCCTGACGTCACGGCTTCTCGCTCAAAATAAATCCCCCGCGGAATTTCGACATAGTCCGCGCGCTCGCTCGCTCGCTCGCTTGCAAACCGCAGCGAGGAGCACGTGGGGGACGGTGTCACGGACTCGATGCGCGCGGCCAGCAGTCGACGTTATACTTCAAGTCGAACGACCACATTTCTTTTTACGCCCGCACTGTCGCTGAAGTGCGCCATTGCTCCAATTTTTTTTTTTTTTTTTTACTGCCCTCCGCTGCTACTCTTCAGGGCTAACATGGCTTTACGCTCTTGCCTCACAAATTCAGAAACTTACGAAGGCCTTGCATTCGACTGATGCGAGCTGTGCAATTTACTTAATCTTTACAGCAGACAAATTGCAAGTTCCGTCATATTTTTAAAACGACAATGGTTACTCTATCTATTGTAAGTTTTTATTTCAGCTTCAGTTGTCCGGTTATGCATCATTTACGACAATTTTTGTATGCATTAGTTTTACGAAAAATCGCCAATAAACGATAATATATCTAAGGCGCCAGTAATTTCATTTGAAATGATATACAGCAGTATTATCAAACAAAGTATTCTTTTAATGGCTAATCTTTTAAAAGTAGAATAAATTGTTGCAATATTATTTTCAAACGAACTGAGAGAAAAAAATTTTTTATTAGGTATATTTTGATATAATTCTTGAAAAATGCTTAATCACAGTTTAAATTTAATAGAGTGCCTTGAAATTTTATTTTTAAGCTTAACTGTTATGGTCATTTGAGTATTGAAAACCTTCAAGTGAAATTCAATTTTTTTTCATCGATCATTCAAAGATTATATTATCTAAGCTAAACTGTTTAGATACATCTACTTCATGACATTAAATTTGTAATTTAATTAGCCTTGAAAGAAAAAACAAATATTTTGCGATCACATAGCTTAGATTATTATTCTATGTATCGTCAGTTCTTCGTTCAAGATGCCACAAAGCAATTAAATCATTATTTACATATCATCTCTCCCTTTGTCGCAACATTGATTTTTAATTGATTCTAAATAGATTTTTGGAATAAAAACGATTCATATTCCTAAAATAATCATCGAATCGATTATAAATTACGTAAAAACCCCGTACCAGAAATCCATTGATGATACACAACATGAATAATAACGTGGTGAGTGTATGTAAGTAAAGTCAGACTTTCGAGTTATGGATTTTTCGAAATTTCAACTTTATCCTGCTAGAGTATATGCAAATTTCGGATAGCTGGATATACATATGAGCAAATATAGTTGAAACGTGCAAATATTTTTCCCTTGAAAGTTGATTTAAATTGACTGTATGTTGAACTTCGTGGTGAAAAATAAGAACTAAAAGTAAAGTTTGGTTTTTACGAAGTTCAAGTATATTTTCTGATCATCTTTTTTACCGTGGTACGCAGTCTTTTAATCCAAATAAACGAGAACCAGCGAGTAAGTGATATTTATTTTTCTAAAAGTGTACCATTTATTTTAATTTACTTTTTAATAATATTATATTATCTAGTTAATATACTTATTTGAATTAAAAGTTATCTAAAATACGAGAAAATTGTCTCGAAAGTATATCTTTTGTAAAGATTAGTGAATGATATAATACTGCAATAAATTAATATATATGAAACAGTACAAAAAGTATTGAAAAGATTTAATTCAGGTAAGTCGAGAATAAATTAATAGAAAATAAGCTGAGTTTTTGAGCTGACATAATGGCAGAGGAATCGCGGCTGCAGATTGTAACCTTGGCCAGTTCGTCGTTCCAGCTGGCCTGCATTCACGAAAACTCTAGTGCTAGGCGCTCGGTAACTCGGCCGACGGCTTTTATTTCGGTCAGCAGCATATACCAAGAAAAAGCCTGCAAGTCATTATTATTAGCAACTCGCTTGGACCGCCGAAAAGCAACGAACGAACAAATAGGCTATCGGCTCGTGCAGCTTTAACTCTCTATAAACATGTTTTCGTTCAAATAACCGTTCGTTTCAAATAACTAGCTATCTGTTTAAATATCAAAGAAATTTGGTGCTTAACGTGTATCTTTAAATTTTTTCAAATATTAAATTAACTTTTATTAATTTTTCAGTGCGTAGATTCATTTTAAAATCAATATATCAGTAAAATACCTAAGCTGCATGTACAATTTTACTTTCTACCCTGCTAAATAAAAAATAAAATAATGTAGGAATAAAATCAAACATATATATTTACAGCATATAAAATAATAATTTATTCAGAAATTGGCGGGAATTATAAACATACAGTGGATACTGCAAGAAAAACGGCCGTAATAATCTAGAAAGAAAAACAGACTCGCGTATTATTGTGATCGAACATTATCAAATCATATACGTGCAATCGGAATGCTTGAATTCACTTGTAATATTCAGTAATATTTTTATTATTTTTATTATTTATATATTATGTCGTTTTATAAAACTACGTCAATAGCACTGATGCCATTCAAAGTACAGTAACAAAGCTTGCTCATCGTCATGTCTATATAACCGTATTCGTTCGACTAATTAAACAACAATAAACAATTAATCGCATGTTTTGCAACGATTTGGGGTCAAACGCGACATCGCAGTATAAGTTTCTAGCATTATTCGTATTTATAAATTGCTGTTATTGTTATTGATCTTCAAAATCATTTGTAATTTTTTTAGCGCGTAAAAAACTCTCGTAGCTTAATATATCTACTGCTGTCAATTGTCAATCGTTCAATTGTCGATCGTCTTTCTTACTACGGTTACAATATCAGGCCTTGTTGCAATTTTTAATATTATAATATATCTTTCTATCTACAATGCGCATACTTTTAATATCGTCTATAATGACGTAATTGGTTTTGTATTCTTTATTTATGAAACCTTGTTTTCAATAAAAGATTCCATCTAGAAAAAATCTTGTAAATTTACTGCCTTTGATAAAAATAAATAAATTATAAATGTAAGCAAATACAGCCGTCACGATAGAATGTCAATCGCGAAGTCGTAAATAAATATATCTCAATCGAAGTACCATCGAGTTGGGGATAATATTGACGATTGACAGTATTTTCAGTTCGAAAAATTAATTAGTCGATGTAAATTTTATTTAGATTTTACATCAGTTCAGACTTTTAACTTTATAGAAAATTGAAATACATAAAAAACATTCGTCACAGATACAACAATATCCTCTACTTGATCAGGTACTTCAATCACAATCATTGCCAAGCGATAATTAAAGTAATATTTACCAAGTTATATTTAATAATTATCATTTACAAATAAAAATGAGAAATCAAGATAGTAATTCATCAAAATTAATAAAATTCCATAAATGTTGCAATAGTTTTGCTCGTTTATACATTATATATATTTATATTTATATCTGCATGTTAAATATACTTTGAAATTGCACGTGTAAAGGAAGATACAAGTTACTTTGTGTTTATTCACTCAGTAGAAGCGTTACTCACGAATTTGAAATATGTGAGTAATAAGAATTGATAATATTGATGATCACTCGATATTACACATATGTATAATAACATTATCTAAGCTATCTGCCAGTAGCTACGTTTTTTCAATCATAATTACATTTACAACTGCAGACGAATATTTTGTACAATAAAGACTATTAATATTATTTATATGTATATCACCGTGGCTAAACCTGCCGCATTTCTCACCTCGAGCATACTGTAGCCGAGTTGAAATCGATTTAAAATCTTACAACAGAACAATAATTGCCAATAATTTGTTGCAGTTTGTGTCAGGCGGAAATAAGCAATTTACAAAATGAAAAATGAGGTAATCTTTTCTCAGTCGCTAATATTTTCATAATCTGGTGTACGTGCGTGGAGATCTCCCTTATACTGACGGGGAGTCGTGAGAAGCATGTCGATAAAAAAGCTACATAAGTTTTATACGGTGCAGTAAAACACAATGCTCGAGCTATTTTGTAGGGTCTCAGTTTGTGGAAGAAAGCTTCTGTTACCTGGTATGGATGTTAGAGCCTTGAGTTCTGGTGACTTCTGTCAAGAAAGAACGATCGGAATAAAAATTCAGGTCAACAGAAATCACATTATTGCAATAAAACATGTCGTGGTACCAACCTGAATGCAAATAATGGCAGCAGCCTCGGTGCGGCGCTCATTCTTGATATTTAATTCTTTAGGTTGTACTTCTTTTTTGACGTCAGCTTTTACGGGCGCTTTCCCCTCGAGCCTTGTCCTAATGCCGCCTATGAACGAAGAAAATGTCCCATCCTCTTCTTGCACTTCCTTGGCTTTATTTTTACTCTTTTTCGGCGGCGACGGTGGATTAATCAACGTGAACTCATTGTCGAACTGCACGCTCTTTTTTCTCTCGGATTTGGGACTCAAGCTCTTCATACACGATGGTATGGGACTCGGGCTGCCGTTTGGCGATAACGACACCTGAGAAAGCTTGGATGCAGCGAAACTTTTCGCTGATGACTTCTTGGCTCTTCTGGTCTCCTCGTTCATATCGGCGATTGCATTTATGGTGCTGCACTTGACCGCTGTCTTGTTGGGCTGCTGCCTACTCTTGTACATGCTATCCTTAAGCTTAGCTATGCTATTGATCTCGCTGTGGATCTCGTAGTACTTAATGTAGTTCTTAACGCTACCGGGAATAATCGCAATAGCCTCGCGCATTTGGTCCTTATTTACAGCTAGGGGCATCTTGACCTTATTGTCAGTATCAAAGCGCTCGGCTAATTGCGGAGCTTGTTTAACTATGGCACTCGTGTCTTTGTCAGCCGAAATCCGTTGCGTCGGCGCTTCCGCAGAGTCTGCTGCTCTAATCTCATGGGTATCCTCAGTCTTTGGCGCAGCTACTACCAGCGTCTTGTCCTCTTTATTTCGTTCTTCGACCGCGTCCGCTTGAACGCTTGCTACGGCCCCGTTTACCGGCCTCAACCTTATTGCTCCGAAGTTGGTCAACAGTTCGTTCAACACGTCGCTTTTCACTTCGCCCACGCTCTTATTGGTGCTGGGGCTCGCATTGATCCTGCTTGGGGCGCTGCTTGGTCGGCAGCCAGCATCCGTTGATTTGATTACGGAGCTACCGTCTGCCGGCGCCTTTACGACTTCCTCGCTCGATAACGTCGCACCTTGTTCCTCCTCCAGCTGCTCTTGCTCGTGCTTTGGATGAGCTGCTATGATTTCGCAATTCACGCCTTCTGCAAGCCTGGAGCTGGCATTCGGTGGATCATTATTGAGCATGTGTTCTAGAAAAGAATTCCGACGAACACTTTCAGGCACTGATTTCTCATCGAATGACGATACCTCAATTTTTGGCACTTCTTGCGGGACAACCTTTGTTAAGATTTCAGAAATTTCAGTCGGATCTTCTTGATGCTGCTTTGAAATTTCAGAAATTATTTCTGTACCATCGTTTATTTTTGCTGACGAGTCTTCACTTGTTTGTGACTTGATTTTCTCTTTGTCCAAATAAGCAGTCCAATCGTCTCCTTCGTTTGATAAATTATACAGAGATGAGTCGATAAAAAGCTGTCTTCTTTTGTTTACTTCATGCAATTCCTCGCTATCAATCGTATCGTCTCGGTACACATCAATTTCTTCATTTTCTAGAGCTACATTTGCTTCGATATTTTCATCTGATTCCTCGTCGTAATTCAGTAGTACGTCGCCTATGTATTTTGATACACTTATAACTTCCGCGTCTTCTTGTATCGTGTTAGTGTTAACTGCATTTAGACTCTCACAGCATACATTTTCATCTTCCAAAACCTCCGATTTATTTAGGATATCGAGTTCACTCACTGATATATTTTCCATATTTTCACTCGCCTCGAAATTCGGAATGTCGTCGTCAATAATTTCGGTCAATTGCACAGATGACTCTGCATATTGTTGAAGATGCTTATCGAGAAAATTTTTGTAACTCACGTAATCAAAGTCAGTGTCCGGGGTAGATGAGCTTGGAGATTGTATAGCAAATCGCACTTTTGAAGATCTCTCCGCGTATACGCTAATTTCCTCTTTTTCAGTCATTGAAAAGTACTGTTTATTAATGAGCAAATGCTTATTTGCTACGTTATTTCGATCGATATAATCGTCAAAAATGTGGTCTCCTTGAGACTCTTTCTCAAAATCTTCGACATCGCCGTCGTACGATTTGCTCCCATCGGTGAGAATATTTTTGAATGGCTGATCAGTGGTGGTGACGCGGAAATAAATTTCTTCTCTGTCGTTGTAAAACTCAACATTTTCCGTAAATGGAATGGCTTCTACTTCAGAATGTTCTTCGGACTTCTGTTCGTGTTTCAACGATCCTTCCATGACAGTTTGAAAGTCCTGGAATGTAAAGTACAGCGGTGGGTACTTGTTAGGCTCTGGTGACTTCTCAAATGGGGACGAGGATCGCGAACTGCGATCTGGTTTCTTTGGGGCTTTCTTGGATTTCCCCGTGCTGCTTTTCTGTAGCTCTTCTTCCACGGGCACATTTTCATCAAATTCCATAAGGCTGTTCTTTGACACTTCGCAACAGTCCAAGCTGTCAAAGTTGCTGGAAATTGCCAAGGAACAACTCTCATTGGGATTAGGCGAAGGTGTTTTCCGTGCGACTCTCGTTCTCTGGGGGACAGTAGGGGGAGGAAGCAGAGGCGCAGCTCGGTACTTGCGTTCGAGTATTGTCGGACGCTCGTTCGCGATGGATGGCCTCTTGCGACGACGTGGTGGTACTGGCGGCGGCAGCGACGACTCATCTGCATCACAAAAGTTAATTTTCTCAATCAACATTGTTCAACTCATTTTCGTTTCGTAAATTTAATGTTATATAGTTTATCCTCAATCGTTAAGTAAGCAAAATTATTCTAACTTTTTTGCATAATCAGTCACAGACTTGTTAAATTGTTCATGTATGTCAATGAAAAGAAGGTTATAAAATAAACGAAGTTTTTTCACTGGAAAAATGAAAAGACTGAACACAAGGCAAGCAAAAACACGCGGGTGAGCTCGGAGTTAGTAAGCAACTGTCCGAGAGGCACTATCGGAGATTCCTTATAAGTGCTATACGACCTCTTCACCCCTCTTTGTACTACAAATATTCAATATCGATTATAAACTTGAATAAATTTACATTGCGTAAGATACTACGCTTTTCATCAAACGTGTCAAAATGTGTATATCACTAAATTATACAGTTAATTTAATATTATGTTTATTCAGGCCTTGCGGTCCATATCTATGAATGATTGTTAATTATTTTAGCTTTTATTTGAAGGCTTTGGACAAAACTGCTCAGAAATATAATAATATTAAAACAATCTAATACCATTTGAAAATATTGTTTTCATTTGGATCTTTTTTTCTTAAAGGGATAACGCTGCAGTAGTGGTGTTATTCCGTAAACAATTTTTAAGGGTATTAATTTCTTACAAGGGTATTAATTTGATACCAAATTAAAATAATTTTAGAGTTTAATTGATCATGCAGCACAATGAAAAATTGTTGAAATGTCTACATATTTATTAAAAGTTATTTAATAACGATTTGGAAAATTGTGGTCACAATCGCGAAAAGCGTCAGTAAAATGGAGAGGCAGACAACGTTTTACCTCAGCCTAATAGGGGCTTCTCTAAACGGATAAAAACAATTTGATTAGCGATTGAAAGCGGTGGTGGTGGAGGTGGTGGTGGTCGTCGTCGTCGTTCTGTCCCTCTCCTTTCATTACTGTAGTAATGGAATTTGTTATAAAAGATACCTACATAGAATGATTTGACAATGTTAATAGATAGTCAATATCAAAGAATTTAATTTAATACAAAAGTTAACATATGAAAAGTAAATTTGTTTGCGAGCCAATTGTTATACTGATGTAAAGGTTTTCCATGGCTTTACCGAAAATCTGTACAATATCTATATCAATTTTGATTTTTTATGCTTACAGGTAGGAACTAACATTTTATTTTAATTTAATTCAGATTCTAAATTTACCTTTTTAAATAAATACTTGTTGTGTACTCGTTCGACTTATGTCAAGATCTTCCAAACTTAAAAACATACTAGCTGAATTAATTGCATTGTGCTCATCTGTGTCCATGACGTAAAGACTGTTAACATTGTGATTGCCCATTGCACTAGACGCTGCACTGCTATAAGCGCTCGACGTATTTTGAACAGAAGCAACGTCGATAGTTTTCTGGAGCCACTTGGAAGACATCATTGCGGAACTTTCTGTCTCCGAGGAAACGTTGAAGCGTATCGTCCTATCAAACCATTGTTCTTCATCTTATCGACAATTCAATGCAATTATAGATGTACGACTACTCACTGTAAATAATTATTTTCAATAGGTTCTTGGCTGTGATCATCGTCATTGTCGAGTAATGGTACCAATTGTGACAAAACAAGTTCCACAGTCTCAGACGAGCTTTGCAACATTTTTAACGCATCCTCGTATCGGAAATTTAACAAATTTTGCCCATTTATTGCTACTATTCTATCACCTAAAAATCAAGAGTAAAGAAATATGAGATTTCCATGAAAAAACTGAGGATAACATTTATTTCGACCTACTCTTGTAAAGATTCATCAGTAATGAAATTTACCGACTGTGACTCACTGACCTTTATTCACGTTCCCGGCCATATCGGCAGACCCTCCGACAGAAACTGCTTGCACGTATACTCCTCCGTCGTTACCCTCCATGACTTGTAGTCCAATGCTGCCTCCGTGACCTCGCTCTAATTTTATAGTACGTAATATTCTTTCTTCAGCGAAAGAAAGCTCATCCAGCCTTGCCATCAAAGAATTTGACATGGTATCGTCCGGTATTCGAAAGGTTTCCTCGTCCGTTCGAATATCCGCATCTATAGTTCATTCGATCATTTAGTCATAAATTTCCACACGAGTAAAGTATAACCAATGGCGTGGAGGAATTTTTCTGAAAATGTTGATGATACTTACTGAGCACGTATGCTTCGGGAATAGGAGATCCAGTCGGTTTCGGTGACGTCGTGCATATCGACGCTGAATCAGATTTGAGAGAGAGCAATTCGAGGTCGTCGGTAAGGCTGGGATTTCGCTGCACCATGCTACTACTGTAGGGCGCTCGGTGTCCCGTTTTCACGTCTGCGCGACGAGGCTTGGCGGGTATTTCGTTATTTTTTTTTAGCCGCGTGACACTGTAGTTCGACGGTATGCTCGTCGCTTTTACCTGAAACAGCAATGGAAAATGATGAACGGTTAGAAATTAATAACGTGCAATGGTTGCTGACACCAACCGTATTCAAAATCTTTTGAGCTTCACAGTCGCTCCACTGCTCCACGTACTCAGGCACTGTAAATTCGGATTTTTTGGGCAAGCCGGACTTATTGATTGCCACGTACAAATCCTCGGGGTTTGGAATTTTTTCGTTAAGCCGATCGATATCACTGGTAGATAAGGGCTTCGGAATGGTGTAGACGTATTCCTCCTTGTCGTCGGCATGAGGGATGCCGATGTTGGCATAGTTGTACAATCTAGCGTTCTCCGGACAGTCGAGCATTTGCAACGCGTTGGCGCTCGGCGACGTTAAGATCTTTCTGTTTATAATCAAAGCACGGTCCGCCTCGTCTTCGGTGTCGCGGGATTCGCCTTCGGGCTCGAGCCGCGCGTTAACTTGCGCATACAGCACGCTGCTACTTTCTTCGCTCGCTTGCTTTTCATCCACCGGATCCTTTAATGGGTTCTCGTTCTCTTTGTTCTGCTGCTCTTCCAGCAACGAAGCTTGCTGCTGTTGGACGGCCGGCTGTTTCTTCAGCGCGTCCGCTATGGAAATTTTTGTTTTGCTGCTCGCCGGTCGCATTTTCGACTGGGGCGAGTTCGGCTCGATGATCAAAGGTACCCCGAAGTCTATAAAAAAAACATCAGTTCCATTAGTGGACCTGGGCAGCGAGCGCCGAGAGTCAAACCTTTGGGCTCACTGTGAATTACATTAGCACGGCGCTGTCACGAGGCTATGCTTTTTTGCGTACCTTTTGCCAAACCTTGTAATGACGTGAGCTCCGAGCGAAGCTTTAGGAAAAACTGGTGATGCAATGACGTTAGTTTGAAGGCGTAGTAGCTTCTGAAATTGATGATTAATTGAATAAAACGAGAAATTTAACGACAAGTGTAATCGAAAGTGGCGCTGACATTTGATTGATGCGAGAGATGAAAATGAGCGCAAGGGTTATATTAAGCCGCGAGTCACAAAAAAATTAGTAGGTCAGAGTAAGCGAGCAGCGACGGGTTTAATCGATAAGCGAGTGGGTATACGTACTTTCGATGATCCATCCTAAGCTTGAACTTGCAGCGTTTGCCGGCGATTCTCGTATAGACTACTAAGCAGTTCTTGCCATAACTTAAAGTTTGAATGTCCTTCCAGAGGAATTTGGCGAGTTCCACTCTCTCGCGCAGCCTGGGGCCGCGCTCGAGTACTTTGAGGCCCTGCGAGTGAATGGCCAGCCAGACGTCGCTGTCGCTCTTCTTGAATTTGCTCGTTTTGCCGTTCGCACTTTTGTTGTTATTGCCGAGGCCGGTGTGGTTGCAGCAGGCATCCAGAGATTTTTTCAGTGACGACGCATATACGTCATCTCCGGCGTTTGATGGGCTCTTGGATAACATTATCTTCTGCTCGTCCGTGTAGGCACTTCTTTGGAAATTTTGCTCACGCGTTTCCGACCCGTTGAAATCGATTTTTCCGTAAATGGGATAGTCCGAGCACTTGTCGATATCGTAGATATTCTCGTCAACGTATTGCTCCTGTTGACGCTGCTGCTGTTGTTCCCCATCCTACAATTCAAACGTCAATGTGACTTGTTTCGTAGGAAATCGGCGTGGAACTCGTTGCGCAAGTCTTATAATTGGAATCTATTTATAGCGGTGAGTGGCACTGATTTATCGGGACAGTAAGGCGTTATTTCAGATTTAATTTTTACGAATTAGTCAATAGGACGTCAAGTGTGAATTTTAAAAAAGTGATATCACGTATGTGAGATTTATTGAAACCTTGACCTGCTGTTGGTTTTTATCTGCGAACTTTTTCATCCGGGCGACGATCTTGCCAAGTTCCTTGGCATCGACGGTAGCCACATAATAGTGCGCCCCGTAATCCGGCAGCGATTGCGCATGAGTGATGAACATCTCCTCGGCTTTGGTGGCATCGAGTCCCCGTCTCTCGCGGTGCGCCTGCTGTAGTCGTTTGCGTAGCGCCTCACCACTGTCCGGCAGATGTGGATGTCGGTACTGTTGCTCCTCCGAATTCAGGATCAGTGATTCCGGCACGTAGTGCTCCAGCAGAAAGTAATCACTGGCGCCGTGCTCCTGTAATCATGCCACGTTCAAGCTCTTTCTCTCTCCTTTCCTCGTTCTACTCCTAATGTTTGTCTAGCCAATCGAAGTCCTTTACTATACTTGTTAATTACGCGTTGGACAGTAAAATTTTTTATTATTTTATAATATTTTTTATCTTTAATCTCATTTCATATAAAGATCGTTTAATTCTTTTATTTGCCGTAAGACCGTATTATTTACATGTTTTTTCTATATTTTAAAACGCGATCGTACAAAAAATATTTTATTCGCCAATGAAAGTATTCGGTCAATTAAATATTGGATTAAAATTTTGTTTCCTAATTTGAATCAATTCAGACGTAAAATAAGAGCTTTTATAAAAATCACAGACGAATGTGAGAATATTTTAACAACTTCTAAAATATGAAAATATTATTCGGTATGATCTAATGGTTAGAGAGCCTGGCTTTCACCGAGGAGGCTGGGATTCGATTGCCGGTAGAGTGACGGCGCGACCACTTCGTTTTGCAGCTAATGCGCTTTTAGTTGGGATTTTTTTCTGCAATTTCGTGAATAACAAACTATGATTATTGAACGTAATCATAGAGATCGCATCTGTATGGCAGAGCCGATACGCGAGATCATGTCGCAAGAGGCTGCCGAGCAATAATACCTTTTGTTTTCAATGATAACATCGATAATGAACATCTGCAAGATAGCGGAAAGACTATCATATATACAAGTGGGATAGCGGCAACAGCACAAAGAAATCGAACAAATGTCCAAATGCTGCTCTGAAAGAACGTAAAGAAGGCAAACTACTCAAAAAATGTGTACTACATAAATCGTATTTTCAACTGCCAACTATCTAGACAGTATTCTCTTCGTAGTACTGAAACACCTTGTACCCCCTGATATTACTACTCACTATAAGATCATTTTTATCTATTGCATTAATCTCAAATATTTTTCCAAATCATGAAAATGCGCCAGAATCATAGATATTAAAAAAACTTCAAACTGCCCAATTAAGCAGCCAGCTCCCGTTCAGACAGTTCAATATCAGCCATTATGGCAAGGTTTATGAGCGCGCAATCAATTAAACCATAGTGCGCTACCCGAAAACAATACAGCCATTTTCGATGATTGTTTCAGCTTCAAGTAACAACACTACACCAATCATACAGTTCATAAAATTTTCGCGAACATTTATAGCCACTTGAACGAACGTGAGGTCGTTCACGCATGTCTAGTCGATCTTGAGAAAGCTCGTGATTCCGCCAACCTGCTATATATTCTCTTCATAGAGAAATACCCGCTGGATTTAATCCAATTTGTATGACATATAATACAGGGCTGCTCGTTTGATATTTGGAATGGAGAAATCGTCATGTCACTCATAATTGCTGTTTAAGGACTTATGCAAGGCAAAATTAACTCACCCATACTTTTTAATGTTCTCATTTGTAAAATTCCCAAAAACACCGCTCGCAATGAACAAGATAACACTACTGAATTGCACTAGTAGCTGACTCCAATTCAACCATAGTGCAAAGCAGACTCGAAAAATCACAAATGAAATAAATTTACAACATAAAATGTGGAACCGTAAACCAAACGGAGCTAAATGTGAGTCAATAGTGTTTAGAGCTCTTCAATCGCGTCAATTCAGATAAACGAGGGATTATTAAAAACTGGATTAAAATTATCGAAAATAGCTAACCTATTGCAGTTCTCCATTATGTTACAGTAAAATATCGCAAAGTCTATTTAAATAGACTTGTGTGTTTTAACGGTTATTTTAGAACACAGATTGAAAAAGTAAAAATTGTTTTTAGGGAAATTTCCACAATTTTCTTCAGTCGTACTTTATCCCAGAAAGTAAAATTCTTATGTTATTTACCCCTCCGACCAATTATCGCCTTCGCGCCTGATTCTCTCGAGGTTTTATATTTGTGTATCTAATAATAATCTTAAGTTACGCGAATTCTGTTCTAAACTTGCGATATTTTTTAATTGTTTTGTGAAAAGCAACCTCTTACATTTTCTATATAATTGGATTTAAGTCTTGTAATCTGTGTTCACTAATTATACATTGTTTTATGTAAATTCAAAATGAATGAATTCTTTCGAGTCCAGTAAATTTGGATAATCATGTTTCGTAATGATCAGGCATCTTCTCAGCATAGCACTCAATTCAATAGATAATCAGGCAGAATATTACAGTAATATTTCAAAATGTCATAATTTTATAAATGGATGTCAATTACAGTCGCTCTAATTTATGCTGGCAAATAAAGGTACTCACGTTTGCATTGTAGTTGCCAAACTCTGCTTGAAGAGCGAGACCGGTCAAGTTTATCAGCTGTGCCAAAGGACAGACCAACTGCTGCTCCAGTATGCAGCGGCGAATTTGCAGGTATAGCAAATGTTTCGATATCCAACTTCTGAATGAAAAAAGGTTTATCAGTGCAAAGTTGGTTATTTCTACTTGTTAATCAAATTGAATTTGTCGCTATTTCACGAAATATTTAACGCTCAAATGAAACAGAGTAGAGAAACTAATTAAGGTATACCCAAGTATCCATTAGATAAGAATTCAATTCTGTAAAACGACGGTATAAAGATGATATTAATTAATTACCTTAATCCTCGAAGAGATGGTAAGAAAAAGCGATGCCTTAAGTAGAGCATAAAACTCGTTGGAATTACCAGCACGCCTTTGCTCTTGTTACTATTTACCCAACCAGAGGGTGCAACTTTATTCAGCTTGGTATCGGGTGGTAATATCGCAAAGTCTCCAGCTAATAAAACCGCTAATCCCAATGTAAAATTTTCCTCGAGACCTTCTGTTTGGACTATTGTCTGAAATGGAAATGATTTTTAGATTTGAGTCAATCGGTTGTTTTACTAAAAATATCAATAAATTACAATAATAGTTAACAACAGTAATTTATTGACAATTAAATGTGTGAGCAAATTTATTAACTTGATCCTATTAGGTATAATTAACGGAAAAATTTAATTAACGAAAAACCTACGGAAATAATGCTTCGTAAGAGGCTCATCCGCTCTTTTCATGAAAAGTTTTATCATAATAAGTACTGCAGTGGTACGTCACAATACATATATATTTATATAAAATTTAAGATAACCAAATATTTTTCAACGCACTAGTTGCTTACATCATTCGATACGTGCGTAAGGAAAATAAGTAATTCGTGCTAAAGTGTAAATAAGAGAAATTACAATAACCCGATATGACAATAACCTACTAATATATATATTGTATCAGAGTGTAACTTTTGTGCTTGGAACGTGGATATTGCCTGCGCAGGCAGCTTGCATCGTTGTCGTTGGCTACCGCAAAAACACCATTCACTGCGTCCGTTCAGTTCAGGCGTCGTGTGCCTTGCATGGAAATTCATAGCGAAAGGTTGTGCTGTAAACTAGCGCAGAAATCGTCCGCGATACCGCTGTTATTGATGCTCGTTTGGGTTCGAAAGCGAGGATATGGTGGTAAAGCAGGGTCCAAACACAGAGAGAGAAAACTTTCGAGCCGGTGGTAACTCGCGGATTGGTCGGTGCTGTTCTTCCGCGCTCGAGTGCGGGTAATTTTACGCGAACTCGAGTGAATTAATAATTTATCCATTACAGCATATATAACAATATTTATTGATAAATAAATTTTGAATTTCGGTGCATAAGTAAAGAGAGTCATTGAAAATAAATTAAAATAAATTTAGCTATTTCAGTTATTAACGTTAACGATTGTTGTTTTATTTTTCAAAATCAATTTTATAACTAACTGCGAAATTTCTAGCTAATATACTTAAAATGTGAAAAAAACGTAAGTTATTTATAGGTTTCACGTATGACTCCGATGCGTAAAAACGCTTTTTTCCGAATAATCAGATATTGGATTCACTTTCTTCACATATCCGGAAAAAATGGTTACTTTGGAGTGCTCTGGCTTGCGAGCTACATATTATTATTTTTAAAACTACTTTCATAAGATCTCGATTAAGCCCACCCTTATACATTAACCAGTACATTTTTATTCAAAAGTTATCCAAGTTAGTTAAGTTTGCGAATAGTATCCAGGGAAGATGATAGATCATAACATACATAAAATACATTAGGTTATTGTTACATCGAGGATGAGTCAGACTATTTTATGGCGGTAAAATTTGAATTTTTTATGGAAGGAACCCAATAACTCAATAATTCACCATTCGTTAAGTTAATCTGACTGGTGGATTACTGGAATATTTTGAAAAAATTAAAAATTGAATGAGAATAGTATATTATTTGGAGATAAGTTAGGTTATGTTCATGTAATCTGGCTACTACATCCCCTTAAGTTTATTATTATAAAATGGATTTTAAACTGCTCATATTTATGAAATTATCAGTACTATGTAATAAATTTAAACAATGAGCAATAACGGCAGTGTAAATGTTTATTGGTCTGACGAAGTTTTACTTTAATAAATAAATGACTTTACATTTTAATAAAAGTATAGCCATTTCACTCTTAAGAGTTGAAGTATAACTAATTGATCTACTTCGGTAAATATTTTATCGGAATTCGAAAGAAAAGAAAAAGAAGAGTTATAGTAAGTTTTAATTTGCTAAAGCTCTTCACAAAAAAAAAGTTATCTGATAAATTGATTGGCTTATCTATCAGCTGCACACTTTGACCTACTGACTTGAAGATATTTCCATAGTTTGCGAAATGAATCACGCGAAGCTTTCGCGTACTCAACTATTCGGGCTTCGATCACGATCCTCTTTATCAGTCGCTCACATATTGTTGATAGACATAATCTACTTGGCCAGACGTTTGTTCGTGTATAGCTTCCACCTAAGCGTTCGCGCTCATTGTTTTATGTTACGTGCTACGTGCCACTTTTTGACATCATTTATTACAATTTTATCTGCGAATGTTAGAATTACCAACAAAAAGAAAATCCGACACTTAAGTATTAATTAAATGTTAACGTTGCATTAAGTTAAGTGCCGTAACACCTGTGGACCACGTTGTACAAAGTTTCAGCTCGTCTTGCTGCTTTGCGCACAGCTTGCAATTCATGCTTTTTCTCAAGTTTTCGTAAATTGAATTACGCCAGTGACGCAAATGACATTAACTTACTTGGAAGAGTTCTCCAGCGGTGACTTTCTGTAGGTCGCAGGTAACTTCTAGACGTTGTCCGTTCAAGTGAATCACAGTTAACCGCCCGATGTTGTTCATCTATAATATTTTTTTAATTTAAAATAAATTGAACAAATAATTATTATTACGTGACTTTTTTCGAATGTCAAAATAATATATGTATACAAATACTATTTCAAAGATATACAAATTGTGGCCGATGTATTTGTAAGTATTATTTTCAGTTATTTAAATTCAGCAGCTATGAAAGCTTTTCAGTAATAGATTTCATTGTAGATAATACTTGAAAACCATCTCCGGTATGGTCTAGTGGCTAGGATACCTGGCTTTCACCCAGGAGGCTCGGGTTCGATTCCCGGTACCGGAATTTTTTTGTTAAAGTTAACAAAAAATATAAGCTATAAATAATGAATTTTTAAGAAACTTTTGCGAATTGTTTTTGCTATCAGATTAATAGTAATCAGTAAAAATAAGTAAACTTCTTGTGAATGAATTTATAAAATTTAGTTTAATTGTCAAGCGATTATCTTCGAACATTGAGGAAACATTCATATAAAATTGATGTTGTCTTCGGCTATATCAAGCTTTTAAACAATAATCGTAAAGTAAAGAGCTTTTGTTGTAAGTACCTTGAAATCACCGACAGTCAATAACTTTGCTGGTTGATTAGCCCGAACGACAAATTCAGGTCCCACACATTGTGTTTTATTGAACGAGCGTGCTGGGCCATTTACAGCTCTGTAGAGACGTGATGGAGCTCTCTGAACTGCGCGACCTCTCCGCGCTCTAGGTCCATTTTTCAAGTCATTACTATAAATCAATTGATGCGTGATTTATACATGTAATTTACTTACATAACTAGTCAACATTTTCTACCAAAAATATTTTAATAATTCATAAACATAACTCGATATCTGCTATTTTATTTTATTTTGAACGAGCATGTATTGTAGTAAATGTAGACATATGTAATGTAAATTTATTTTCAAAACTTGGTAAAAATTATTACTCGCGTTTCCCACAGAGTTAAAAACTTTATGACAGAAACCAAGCTTGCAAAATAGTACTAATGACGTGTAACCAAACGAACAATAACTGAAATTGTTTGCCCAGCAGACCTGACCTTTTTTTCCATTGAGCAACTGTGAAAGACTGCTCATATTCCTGTAAATAGACTAATTTAGACGCTAATAAAACCTAGCCAACGCAGAGAGGCGTCGCAAGGAATATCATGCCGACACGTTAACAACCTGCCACGCCAAGTTTAATTAAACCTCCTCAACTCGCAGCGGCCTGCGAGCGCTTGTCTTTTTAAAAGTCTTGCTTTTGCCGTCGTCTTTTTTATGCTAAAATGTTGGGGTCCAGCTCTTAAAAAAACATTTTTTCTCAGGAGCCGCCACATGCAGACGTCACACACACACACACACACGCGCGTGCGCGCGCGCAGGGGGAAAATATTCCCCCTTTTCCCTTATTTTTGTCTGTTATTTGTAGAAGAAAAGTGATTCTATCTAATTTAATTTTATGGATGAAAGTGCCTCTTGCGCAAATTAGAACGGTTCCAAACTTGATGAGAAAAAAGTCAAATATTCCATGGACTGGCTCATGAACATTTCCAGCACTTTCGCAAAGTTGTATATCTGCCTTGAACTATTTAGAAATAATTAACTCGGACGCTGTTTGATAAAGTACTTGAAAAATTGTTCTACAAACTCGCTGCTTCGTTCTCTCTCATTGGAAGTTAACAAGTGTTTCGAATAACTTTGGTCATTTTTTTCATATGCCCGTTAATTGGCTTTTTTTCAAATCCAACACCATCTTATTGAGTTTAATAAATTTGAGCCGGTAGTAGAGATAGCCTCGATTCGCTCATCTGCGGATGGATGCTGGGAGTTAACATTTAAAATAAACCACAACCATACAGTCAAGAATTGCACAAGTGAAATAGAAGTTTACATAGATGGATGATACTCAATTAGCTTATGGAAACTATGAATGACGCAATGGCGCGCTGTCTCCCAGGACGGCTGTACCTATATAGATATATTCAAGAGAAAGTGAGCAATGCAAGGAGTGAAGTTGAGCGTGTTACCTTAGCGGTTTGACGTTCGCCTTGAGCTCGGCGGCATCGAGGGCTGCCTGAGCAGCGGCGGCCTTCTTGAGACTGGTGATTATCCGGGGTGGTTTCGGTGGTGGCGGTCCCCTCGGTACGTAGGGCATCTGCTGCCTCTCGGGGTCGTTCTGCTTTTGCAGCTCGGCGGTTAGCTGCTGGCGTTGTGGTTGTCGCGCCGCCTCGGCACTGGCGGATTCCACGAGCGGCCTGCTGCTGCTGCCGAACTCCCAAGCTTGTTTTTGCTCGGGGCCGTAACGAATCGAAGCGAATTGCGGACTGGAGTGCTGTCGTTGCAGACCCACCACCATCCCTGGATTATTATTGCTCTTCTTCGTCGACGTCGCGTACAGCTCCTCCTGTAATTTGCAACTCGTGATATGCACGTACCGATTCACCGTTTTCGTACGTGCAATTAAACTTTGCTAGGGAGAAGGACGTGAGCTTAATTGACTGTCAAATATCTTACTTCCGAACGCTGCTACTTAGATTCCTCGTACAATTAGTACATCGTTCGGCTTTTTTGCCTTTGAAAATGAACTTTAAATGATCGTCAAAAAGATCAAAGCATTCAGACTTCGCTAATGATTATAAAACAGCGACGGTACGTATACGCTGAAAAGTCTATTTTTAATAATGTTAATGGTCAGTTCATTCTTTCTTTAATTGAAACTTTCAGTCTGTAGGAAAGTGAGCTGTCGAAACTTTTCTAATAAAACGTTTCATTCGCGAGCTTTCAGTAAATATTACGCTTTAGATGGATAAAATGAAACACTGCAACACGGAACTGTCGGAACTTGCGATATCGTTGATCGAACGTGTCGCGAAGCTGTGCAAATGCAAGCTGAAAGAATCACTCATCAGTGCGTATTAATTGCAAGATTTACTTGTCTTTCAATATGAAAATAAGCAAGGGGACTGCCACGCAGAGCCATATGACGGACTAGGTAAGCAGCCTTATCCGGTAATCCGTATAAGCAAATCCGAAGAACTCGTCGCGAGAGACATTAGAGCCCCGCATCGTGTAGCGAAGAGCGTGGCGCGAGAGGCTGCCGTGCGCGCCAAAGACAAAAGTTTACCTTGGGATTGTGCGCATGCAGTTCGGTAGCAACAATACTGGGCTGCGAGGATGTTGCCGGCGTGAGCACGGTGAGGCCGACGGTGGCAGCAGTGGCGGTGGCGTTCCCGCCATAGTTCCGGGCTGCCGCGCCATTGCGTATGTCTTGCGAGCTGAGGAACGGCTTCATCGGCATCACGTACACCGGGTCTACGTAGCACGGATTGTTTGCATTCCGTGCGTCGCCCATTGTCGCTAGGTCGCCACTGCTCCTCACCTGCGGCAGCGTCGTGCCGACTCCTCCCCCTTTTCCTGCTTCAACACATTTTACGCGTGCACGTTTATCAATACTTGTTGGTCTTTAGTGCTCACGTCATTTTTTTGGGCGTCGTTGCAGCAAAATGAATTGTTTCGACTTCTAATATAGGGGTAATTCTTGGCTATTTCGATTGACTTGTAACCCTTAGGTTGCGGATTTTTTTTTAATTTGGCACAATTGTTGTACACGTAAAAGTGAGATTTTTCTCAAATTTTGAAGACGATACATTAATTATATCAAAAGTTATTAACAATTAAAGAAAAATGATAAAAAATTTTCAAACGGCTATATTTTGAAAACTAATAAAGATATCGAAGTTGCATTTTTTTGAAAATACTTATAATGCCTTAAAATTTCGAAATAATTACAACAATAAACAATAAAAATTTTTTTTCGAAAGTTATTAACTTTTTGTTTAAACAATTGCTAATATCTCAAAAAGTATTTTTTTTTTGAAAAATTCTTGCTCCTGCGTGTTCCTGAGGATTTTTGCTATCGAAATTAATCATAAAATTCAAGGGCCCGATATATTGGAAAGCGTAGCCTTAATCAAACGAAGACGCCTCAGCGTAAGACCACGAAGACGTCCCGCTGTCGTTGCGACGTACACCGAGGGATCTTCTTTTGATTAGGGCTACGATATGTCAGGCCCTTGAATTTTATGATTGTTTTCGATAGCAAAAATCCTCAGGAACACGCAGGAGCAAGAATTTTTCAAAAAAAAAATATACTTTTTGAGATATTAGCAATTGTTTAAACAAAAAGTTAATAACTTTCGAAAAAAATTTTTTATTGTTTATTGTTGTAATTATTTCGAAATTTTAAGGCATTATAAGTATTTTCAAAAAAATCCAACTTCGATATCTTTATTAGTTTTTAAAATATAGCCGTTTGAAAATTTTTTATCATTTTTCTTTAATTGTTAATAACTTTTTGATATAATTAATGTATCGTCTTCAAAATTTGAGAAAAATCTCACTTTTATGTGTACAACAATTGTGCCAAATTAAAAAAAAATCCGCAACCTAAGGGTTACAAGTCAATCGAAATAGCCAAGAATTACCCATAGAATTCGATGCGCGACATTGTGGCTGGTATCGCTTTACAATCAGCCATAATAATGCTGTATATGTAAACGGATTTGCCCGCTAAATTCAACTCGTACCCTAATTAGCTATCATTAAGCAATCACCATGTTTTTAAGCATCGAAAAGTTGAACTTAATATTGTAGTTATGTTAGCTTAAAGGTATTTACACGGAACTAAAGCGGTTTGGATTTACAAGGAAAACTTTCTTCATAATGTGTTCATTGTGAACAATGTTCTCCTCGCAAACTTTAAAGGGAAAGCGCGGGATGCGTGGCTATGGGTCGAGCGAGTTGAAGTGGGCTTTTACAATCCCGAAAGGAGGTTGACCCCGGCCGCGTGACAACACAAGTGCAATGCGTTAATATTCCACTCAAAGCGATCGAGAATAAATCAGTTAATTTTTATTGGACAGAAATTTATTATCTATTGCATTATCATTTATTCCGGTTTTTCTTCGGATGACTACCCATACCTATCGTCCTGCTTAATTATTGTCCCGCAATAGTAGCTGTACCTCGCTATGAGAAGAATCAAGAACGCAACCGACTGTCTTACCTGGCTCAAAGCAGCATTCGGGCTGGGAGTTGGTTCTCTGATGAAGGTTGCGCGCGTCGATGACGTAATAGCTGGCACCGTCGGCGTTACTTCTCGGTCCTGCCGCCATGCTCAGCAAATTCGGCTGCGATCTGGAGTTTCTTGACTGCGCGCGAAAGAGTGCGCCCTTGTTTGCTCGGCTCTTCGACTGTGCCGGTGGTGGATTTTGTCGTGCTGGTACAGCGTTTGCACCCAGTGGATGTGGATGATGTTGTGGTTGCTGCTGCTGCTGCTGCAGCTGCTGCTGCTGCTGTTGCTGTTGCTGTTGCTGATGTTGTTGTTGTTGTTGTTGTTGTTGAGCGACTGGAGCGCATGGTAAACTCCTAGTGGGCTGTTGGACCGCTCGTTTCCGAGCGGCGTACTGCGTGGAGCGTACCACTTCTCGATACATATCCATGACGATGTGGGTGAACGGGCGCGATTGTAACCTCGTCCTGCAGTACTCGGAGATCACCTGCAAGCAGCAAGCAAAGCGAGCTTTTTTTAATTAAGCCGAGAGTGCCGCGATCGCGCCGTTGACAGAGAGATTGGGAATAAGCTGGTACTGTGTTGTTGGCCAATAGTATTCCTTGTCGGCAAAAGCGACTCGACGAGCCGTGATTGAGAGCTTGATTTCTAAGAGATTGGAATTAAACGAGGGGGAAAGGGGTGGCAAGCGGGTGTTAAGTGGACGACGTAATTGGAGCGTCGCTCTATCGATCAAGCCATCGAGTGCTTGGACAATCGTTGGTCTGCTCGACTATTCGATCGCAAAAAAAGGCCAGAAAATAGTTTCCGTTATTATTTCACGATAATGCAATTGTTTTCCACCTTATCATAGTTTCGTTTATGATATTGTCTTTTGGCCTCGCTAATTCTATTGTTCGCCCCGTATTCATCAACGGCATTATCTAAGAATTAATTAACCGTAAATTGAGTAGTTCACAAATTTACACTTTTTCACTACTACGTTAGAACGATGATGAAAAATTCGAATCACTTTTGTTTCTTTTTGCATGCTATGCTAACGTCTATTGGTGCACATTGTGAATATTAATCAAATAGTACGCATGTACAGCCTTTGACGCGAGGGGAAATGATTCGCAGTCATAACGTTTGCGAACACTTCGCGCATTCACACACATAATCCCAGCTGGTATGGATCGCAGCTTGTAATTAAATTTGAATCGCGCTTTAGTATTGAACACGATCGACATTATCGCTAAATTATTGATTATTGAATTGACGTGGGAGCATTGAAGAAATTATGTAGCTCAGCCGTGAGTCCTCGAAACTGGCTGAATTCCGTGCGCCGCCCAGGATCGATTATCTGGAAATTGGCTGATTACACAATCTCGCTGGAAGATCGCCTCGTGCCGGCGCGCGTTTTGGTCAAGGAGCATTGGTTATACCTACTACTACACCGCTCGCAATCAATATCGACCTTCATTACCCTCAGACCGAATGACAAATCGAGTCATTTGTAACTGGCTCACGTCGGCTCGCGTACGCAGGCAAATGGCTCTCATTACGCTCGTATTCAGGGCCACAACAAATGTTGCCGAAATTGCGCGAGAGAGATAGAGAGCTTCGCCGCACAACGTCCAAAAGCTCTGTGCGCGCGGACAGCGAATTCTTTCGCGCCGCCCGAACAACCTATCCGTGGGCTGCTCGTTTTACTCTACCGCGCGTGTTCTGTGGCAGTAAGCATAGTTGTCTGCACATTAACGCGTCCAATATCTCTCCGAATGTAATAATCTCGGGTTTACCCTATTTTTTTTAAATTTCATTCAAATCCAAATTTATCGTTCTTAATTTTTTTCCGTCAACGTGATATCTTGATTGTCCAATCTTTTACCCTTAACGGCAACGTTTATTCCAATGCGAGAGCATGACAATCTACGGTAGGGCTTCATACTCAATTTTTTCCTGAACAGTAAAAAAGAACGTGCTCTTTTTAGTTGAAAAACAGAAATATATTCTCGTTTGAACTGGAATGTGAATTGAATCACTGAAGACTGAAAATTACTAGAAACACTACAAACTAATTTTTTAATATAAAAAGCTGACAATCTTTAAATTGAAAGCTTTGCAATTAAAAGTTATTAAAATTCAATTGACATTTTATTGCGATTGTTTTCGATATTTCAAATGGAGAGTCGAGTGTCGAATGAAAAGTAAAAGGAAGAAAAAAAAAAAGAAAAAATGAAAAAGAACGAGGCAGGTCTCGAGTAAGATGTTATCGACATTTTCGGGAAAAATAGCTTCCCATGGAAAGAATAAAAAAAATGCGGCGAGAATTCAGAAGCGAGAGAACTTTTCCACGCGAACAGATGATTTCCACGCGACTTCCGGTGGTTTGAAAAAAAAAAGAAGAGGAAAGAAAGCGCTTTTGTTTCGCGTATCAACAGTACACATCAGATGACAACGGCGACGCACTCGACCTAGTTCCGAAAGAACGTTTCCCGCGACGATCGTAGCAGCGATGCACAAAAGTACGCGCTGCGCGTTTCTCGTGCAAACAAAAATTGGCGTCGCGAGCGTACGCGTAGACCACTTGCGCACTGGCAATCCGTAAGCAGTCGCGGCTCTCAAATATTCATCTGGCGTGTAATTATGAGTGTACGCGAGCCGAGAACAGCGAGACTGCGAGAAGCGGAAAAAGCAGGTAAAAGTGAAAGAAGCCACGGCATCCAGAGAAATAGCGAGGGACACCCGGCGAGTGGTGCAGGCCCAAGAAAAATGGCTCTCGTAAGTTGTTGTGCAAGTGGAGATGAGACTGCTGGAGCACGGCAAAAGGGACAGTTTAATTGCAGCAGTCGAGTTTCTGGCATTTATCATTGTCGGGAGAGTGTGGCCTCTACGGCGCGGTGATAATAGCTGCTCGGCGCTTTCGCGTGGTTTGGCTAACCGCCCTTGACGGGCCGTCGTGTAACGCGCGCGCCTTAACCGCCGCCGCTGCGTTGTGGCTCGTATGCAGATGAGCTCTCGCCAACTGATGAAAGGCCAGCGACATTGCCAAGAATATTCGATTGCAGCGACGTTTTTATGTCGCTATACTAAGCGTAGCTGTTAAAAATTAACACTCGTTGCAATAAAAACTCTTCCATTCTATTATATTTTGCAACGTAGTTAGCAATTGGATTATCACCTCGAGGTTTACTCGAATAAAATTTGCTCTCAGGTACGGTCGTTGAACGCGTACAGCAAGGAAAACAATGAAATAGACTAGGGAGACATTAGGAAGAAAAATAAGAGTCGATCGGATGAAGCGTGAAAAGAAGAGAGCGAAGATATAGTAGATCGTGGAGAACGTTAAGTGCGAGGGTAGATCTCGAATATTTTACTGATAAAGACGGGCGGCCGGTGGTGTTGGTGAAAGAAAGAGCTGCTGCGACAGCAGGTAGCCATGAAATGCAATGTCCTATTGTTCCCTTTCAAACTTTACGGAGATAATCGAGACGCGCAGTACAAATCGGAAATAACTTTGTTTCGGTCTTCTTCCAGATAACACTTTTTTGTCTTTGGGATTCATTCTCTTCGCTCATTGTAACGGTGATAATGAAAGCGCATAACTTTTTTTCGCTCAAAATAAATTTTAATTGCAAATACTCGCTTGAATGGCATTTCATAAGTTTTTTTCATCCTACGCTTTTACTGTTTGTAGTTACGAATTTCAAAGTATAACTATAAAAATGGCAATATTTTTGCATTTTATTTCAATGTCCTCAGAGCGTTAGCGGCTTTTTAAATTTACTTGCTATATCTAATGATCTTTTGTATGAAAAATTCATGTTATCCACAGAGATTTGATGCTCCTTTTTTTTAATGAGATTAAAATACAGATTTTCTTAATAAAAACTTTCTACTCATGAAAGTTGCCTTTAGAAGACACTTTAGCAAGCTATTGTCTGTTAATTCTTTTGAGCATTTTTTATTTTTTCAACGAAAATGTTAGTAATGAAAAACGAAGTACCTCTATTGAAAGTTTGAATACTACGATAAAAAAATGCTACAGTTTTTTCATACTAATAAGGCCAATATAAAATATGATGATTAAAAATTTTATTGAACTTTGATATCATAACAATTATGGTGCAAGTAATTTTCAACTTTTATAAAAATGAAGAATTCTTTTACAATAAAAAGAAAATAATGGTTGAAGCTTAGAGCTCCAAAAGAATAGAAAAAACACTCGTGCAAAGTTTGGAAAATTCGATAATGCGACGCGCTCAAAAGTTATTCACTCGATATAAAAGGAAGTATAAAGTAAGTGAGTGGGTTGTCATAAGGGCGTGAAAGTAAAAGCTCGACAGCGTCAAGAACCGCAAATAGCTAGGCGCGAAGCAATATGGATCATCGAGGTGTGTGGGCGGCACCGAGCTGATACTATTTATGATCTAGGCGATGGGGGTTTGCGCGCGTGACCACGCGACAGTATTAAGATATTAACGGCTGCCGGTAAGAGCTGCTTAACCAATTAATTGGATTATTTGTCCAAGCTACACTCACGAGCCTTTACTTTCAATCTCTTCGATCTATTTAGCTCTTCTATTCCTGGATTTCGCAGAATGCGTGCGCGAACATGCTCACCGTTATTCGTATCATAGCACTTTTTTCACAGAACTGTGTGATTGCCTGTCTCTCAATATTGAAAGATCGACCGATCCAGATACAATACCTTTTCCGTTTATGAACAAACAGCTAGTGCTATATCCAGCTCGATTCACAGTCATACGTCATTTTCTTAGATAAAATATTTTGCCGATTCTATCCTTATGCGAACAAAACCATCTAAAATTCAACCGATCAATAATTATCTTCAAAATATTATGCGTTTCGTAAATCATGCTAACATTTTTAAAACGTATTCCTTTTATCCATTTTAGGAATAAAAGATTATACATGCTATAAAAACTATTTATAGAAAGCAATTGCATATAACCTTGCAAATACGTTCTCAGAAAATAATTATGCCTCTAACATGAAAAATGAATATCAGACGATAACTTAGTAGCATGTTCCAAATGTTTGAATTCTACTAGGATCCCCGTAGGTCGCAGACAATTCATCTGCTATGAAGGCCTTAGTAGGATCGACCTGGTTGTCGTGGTTTTAAACGGATATCATTTCTATGCTAGAAGACATTTTAGCAATTGAATAATGTTAGTCTATAATTCATGAAGTACGTTAATTACTACTTAATAACTTGCGGTATTTATGATGCAAATTACACGTTGTAATTACCATATTTTTTGATTTCGCAACAATACGATTTCACATATACAGTTCTCACGTTGCGATCGAACTATAGGAATCAATGTTATGAGTTAATTAACAATCGAATGTATATTATTTAACTTGTAGTCATTTTAATTAACGTAACATAATTAATGTTTTACCTAATTTTATCTCTGCTATGCAGATTTAAATAATCAAACCGCTTTGACAAATTTTGTTTGTGACTTTTTTATT